AAATTATGCAAAAATTTAAATATTCTTCCATTATCTTTGTAACAATTATTGGATACATAACGATAATCCTTCTACTCAAAAGATTTTAAATTAATTTTTTCCACTGATCTGTGATTATTATTGGTTAATTGTCACGTGTCATAAAAAATTTATCAAAAATTCAAAAAATTTCATTTTACTCTATTATACAGCAAAAATTCCGATTTATTCATTTATTATAAAAATGGAATTTTTCTGGGTCTCTGGCATAACCGTCTACTTTTGGTATGCGAAATATCACATGATCCGTTGATAAGTCACATGATTCTGATCATTGACGAAACTTTATTGATTATTTTTTAGATACAACTAATCAGAAAATATTAGAGAAGCATATGATGCTATCAAAGAGGAAGGGAGTACGCAGATCTTAGGCTATTTAATACGAGTTCCAGCATCTATTTCAGACTTTTTATAAACTTCTATACCTAATTTATTTCTATCACTATTGCTATCTACGAGATTCTTACCCTACACTAGATTTCTGAAATAAATTTTCCCACACATATCTACAGAATTTTCGTCTATATCATTCTTACCCGCACAAATTATATAAAAGATTATTTCCTGCAAGAAAACTTTTCTGAGATTAAGTAATTTTGAATCTACAAGCATAAATTCGTGAGATTAGCAACTGATATAAAAAAAAAATAATATTTCTGATTTACACTTACCGTTACTATTAATTTTCGCAACATTCTATTCTGCCTGAAATTTATTACTTAATGCGATTTTTTTATTACTAGTACGATACTGCACCAAATACTAAGAATTTGACACGTGAAAATTTATTAAACGCACTACGCTAAATTTTGTTGATGTTAAGTAAATAGTTTCACTGCGTCTATTGTACGCGTGATTGTTAGAGATTTTCTCAGCAAAGATCAGAATGCCGATACATAGCAAGAAGAGTAATATATTCATTTTATTTTGGAACATCTATAGAGACAGGAAAATTGATTAACATTGTGATGACATGTCTCAAGAAGCTAACCAAGCAATAAAATCAACATACCTTATTATTGTTTTGTGGAATATAGGAGTTTGTTTGATCAAGGATATTATAATGATGTAAATAATGGTATGTTAGATTGGTTTTGATTTTTCGTTTTACTTACACAAGGTGGATAAAAGGATTCACTAAGGGGAGTCATAGATATTACATAATATAATTTTGCTAGAAACGGACCCTCCCTTCCCCCAACGTAAGACATTTAATTTTAACTAATCAAAATAAAGATACAAAATATATGCGTATGTCAGGTGACCTGAACTTGAAAGACTAAAGTTTATTTTATTTAGAACACCAAGGTTGATGTTTAGATACCAACTAATCATCCTAATACTTTTATAGAATAGTGAAACATTTTTAAGAAAAGCTTAAATGATTAGAACTTTACGCCTCAAAGAATTCTTTCTTTCCCATAAAATATGAAATCATTTGTTTACACGAATATTCATTAAGACAGAAGTTGGAACTTAAAGCAACGGTTACTTATGTTAGCTGTAGTAAGTTTACAATCATTAATTAGGTTTGAAACTACCATAAAAACCTACCCATTTACTTTATTAAACATTAAATAAGATACTTTTTAAAAAGCTATCAAAAACATTATCTTTTATAATGTCAATTTTCATTGCTTTACAATGAGACCTGAAGTTATCTGATCATATGAATAAGAACAAAAGTCTAGTTGATGATAAACATGATTAGACTCAAGATATCTTTAGTATTGAATTATTTAGCGATAGATTCAAATCACTAGCATTATCCTATAATTTTACGGTATCATAAAAAGGAATGACAACTCCTGATTTTTGCGGTTTTCAATTTTTACACGTTCATTTTGTTTTTGCATTTATTTCATGTATTAGTTCAAAATGCAAAGCTATCTTTCAACTCCAAAATTTATTAAAAACTTTTGTTATAAGGAACCAAATTCTATTTATCATCATTTTTGTAATGCTTTTACATATAGACAAATGGTTCTGGCTAAAAATCCTAATTACAATCGTAAAATCCTATTTTGTGAAGCAAACTTAGAGTGGAAAAAATACAAAAAAAACAAAAATATTGAAAAAATAATCAAAGATTTTTTTAATACGCCAATTTCTATACAAGAATTTCCTATTTTATATACAAGATGTTCAACACAAACAGTTGATATATCACATGCGGATATAGCGAATATAATAAATACAACAGTTCTATTACTAATTCAACAACTAGATGAATTACCTTGTGCAAATGCTCCTTCCCAAAAAAGAATTTTTGATCAAATAAAAGAAGCTGAAAAAAAATTAGTAGAATTTACTTCTCTTTGTGGTGCCACTAATGATTTTTAGCTTCGTAGGACTTTCATACGTGTATTGAAAATTTAAAAAATGATCTTGAAAAAAAAAATGATTTGAAAAAACTTAAATGGAATGCAGATTATCAGCAAAAATCTAGATCAAAAAAAGCAAAACATGTAAATAAAAAAAATGAAGTAGTTATATACAATCATGCTGACCGTCCTTCAGTTCTTTTTGAACATCTTGATCTTCTTGAACACATACACAGTTCAATTGAATTCAGTGTAGCTGATGCTAAAAGAAGAAAAGAAATAATTAAAGTTAGATCAATAGTACATTTATAAGAGAAGTTAGAAAATAATTATAATGAATACTTATCGATGAGCATACTTCGCAATTATATGTTACCAAATAATAGAACTTCTATCGCAGCAAGAGCTCATCATCATCCCGCAATAGTCAGAATAGCTAATGTTTTACGAAGTAAAAAAAAAGAACACATTGATTCACATTATTGTTTAGCCTCAATAAAAGCATCAAAATCATTTGCGAGCACATTTCCTAATCTAATGGTCATGATATCACAAGATGATAAAGCAAAAGTTAATGTTGGCATACCTGCTGTAGGATATACGTTTCAAACAGTACAATTAATTGCTGAGCCTGTAGAAGTAGAAGATCATGATTTTTCGATTGGTGTATCTCAAAAGCTAATTCTAAGTGTTTATTTAATGATCAATCTGGCTGATTCAAATGACACAATGAGGGTGAGGCAACTTGCGATTTATGTACAACTTTAGTGATACATTAGTACAAATTCTTTAACGCATATGCAAGATTTGATTAACCTTGTATTAATGAGAGAATATAAAGAAGTTTTTAAAATAAATGATATGATCAAACCACTTTGGGTAATACTAGTAAATGGAGGACCAGACGAAAACCCCTGATATCTCAAAAATATATATCAGTATTGCCGTCTATTTAAAAAATTGGATCTCGACTATCTAATTATACGAACTCATGCCTTAGATCAATCTGCATTTAATTCTATTGAAAGATATATGACAACCTTGTCTAAAAGACTAGCAGGAATCTCTTTACCTATCAATACATTTGGCAAACATCTTGATACTCAAGGAAAAGTTGTTAATCAAGAGCTTAGGCTACAAAATTTTCGATATACTAGTGAAGCTTTGTGTACTATTTGGCGACGTGATAAAATTTTTGGTAAACCTGTCTATTCTGAATATATTGACGAGCGACCAGTCTCTTATTCAGATATAATTTTTGAGGCAAATGCAGAAATCAATGACAGCAATAATGAGAAAACTTGTGATGAAGATGAGTATTGAGAGAATAGAGACATTGAAGGAATTGCTGAACTGGTATCATGGGCTTAGATTGAAAAAAAACACAACTGTGCAAATATTCCTTAAATATACAAAAATGCAAAGACTCAGAATGCTGTTCACAAAAACGAGCCCCTGAAGTTGCCTCTTTCTTTGAACCAACAAATAGTTTCCTTTCACCTATAATTCAAGGTAAAGACAACCATTTTTTGAACCCAATACATATCGCACAATACCTAAATTCAACAAAATTAATGAAGTACGATGAGCATTGTTCTTCAATTAGTGTTGAATAATATATAAAGCTTGAATGTAATACATGTAAAAAATACTTTTCTACTTATGTTTTTCTTGCAAACCACAGGCATTTTGCTCATCCCAAGAATCCCAAGACACAATAAGATCCAATATACATTGTTCCTATATAAAACAGTTAAAAATTTTGTATAAAATAAAATATTAAATTTGAATAAAATAAAACTTATCTTTTATAAAAATTTAAAATTCATTTGCTTTGTCAGCTTTTTTATTTTATTTTGAAGGGCATTTGTATCACTCAACTCATTATTATTTATTGTCTTTATCGTCTAATAGAAAGTAGATATATTATGTATTACATATTTCCATTTTTGAAATTCATATTACATAAGACATTTCTAACCTCCCTCCCCCTATATAATATTACATAATATCTGTAACTTCCCTAACTAGCTCATCACCTTTTTATATAATTCACAGAATCGATTTTGTTATATGCTTTTGGGAAAATTACGTTAATATGATCACATCATGAAAATCTGATTAACAGACTCTCCTTAATTTAACAATAAAAAATTTAATGCTACCCATATGTAAAGATCATCAAGGGGTCCTTTTACAATAATATACGTAATAATTTTGAGAATATACGAGAAAGTTTGAAAATAAAATCCCTGAATATTCGCTAGTAATCTTATTTGCTGATCCAGATTTTCTAAATTACTCTGTATTAACATATGAGTAATAAAAATTAGCACTATATATATATTAAATCGTCATGAGAAAAAATATTTAACTACATTACTCGAGTCACTTAGTAGCCTAAATGTCTTTTATTTGCAATACATTAAGCTAAAAATTACATGATGCGAGACTAGCCCTAAGTATATGATGCTATTCTATGACTTTAAACTATTTATTATACACAATTATTTTTTCAAACAATATTTATCTATTCTAGCTTAAAGCAAAGGAGATGTATCCATAATACATGCTATATCATATGATAATTGTGAAGACTCTTCACACTTCTAACCAATAGAAGTAGGATCTACTTGTTAATCATATGATAAACTTTAATTTCAATGACGTACTCAGAAAAATTTTGGCAAAAATTTTCCTGATATTAATTGTGCATCTGATTTCAGTTTTTTTTGCATAAGCCACTCACGTGGTTTGAAAAAAAAGAAATATATGAATATTTTTTCTTCTATTATAAGCCATAATTGCAAACTTGAGTTTATTGCTTGAAATGTTGCAGGTAAGACAATATTCTAACTTATCTTAGGATAGTAACTTCACTAATTCAGGATCATAAGGGAACTGATTTCTATTTTCGTAGTACTATGAGCCATGTAATCCATAATTCCCATATTTTCTATTGCAAATAGGGTATGATGAGCTTCACAATTGAAGTGATGCAAAATTATAATTATCAATTTCCCTAAAACTATTTCAGAATTTTAAGTATAAAAAGTGTTCTAAGACTGATTTGATAATTAATTCTGAATTAGGTTTAGCTTCGAAGGTAATGGGTCTTTTTTCTGACTTTGAATTTATAACTTTTGATTTATGTACTTCTGTTAGTTGTCACAGCTCATTTCCAGTTTCTTTTTTATATTTTTTGTATAATTTGAAATGAAACTTATTTGACAAAATACTTGGTAATCCACTTAATTTAGCGTGCTAATCCAGATATTTGGCAGTTAGTATTTTATCAGACACAGTCATTTTCCTTTTTATATGAATGTAAGTTAATTTAATTTAGTAATAGTTAACATGAATTAGCCCTGTAAAAAAATAGTTTTCAAGAAAAACGTAAATATAGTATTGTAAATAATGGGACTATGCAGTTATCTCAATTTCACGCTGTTCACATTTAATAAGGTAAGATCTGGTTTTATACTCACCTTTTATTTCTTCTTTATCATGACTTAATTTGCATAATGAGCAGATGTAGTTCCCGCATGATATCTCATCAGTAATCTCATAATAATCAAAATTTTCACTATTACATTCTATATTTAAATTAGGATATTGATCTAATATCTTTTTGCAGAAATAGGTGCAGTCATAAACTAGACTCAGGTTGATAAATAGGTAATACCACCTTGATATCAATTTTTTTCAAGGCAGATTCATTGGGAATTTGAGATTCAGTAAGCATAACTGAACTAGTGATATGTAATAAGTCAGAATTTTTCTTATTACTTTGTGAATTCAGTTCACAAAGTTGTGGCTCCATATGAATGCTATAATCAAAGGACATATTGTCTATAATATACTGGATGTCTTTATACATTATTTTTGAGATAGAATTAGTGGAGAAGAAATGAATTTGATTTATTTTATCCATACTTATTGTATTAAAAAGTATATAGAGCTTCTTAGCCTGCTCAATTCTTTTCCGTAAAAGTGCATCAAAAGTAACTGCAAGAAGTTGAGCTTTAACTTCTATATTTAGAATTCTACTGACTGTATTAGACTTCAGATCAACATATTTTTCAGTTGCAATCTCACCTCGCCTCTGAATAAGAGCTTTCTCAAATTGGCAGTACTAAAAGATAACTTCTTAAGTCATATTATCAGCAAGGATTACAGCATCACAAAGTTTTTTATACAAAAGAGAAAGGGTTAGCATTTCCATTTCTATGATATTAGCATTTGAATCTGATTCTCTTTGGAAAGATACTACTAAAGGTATTGAATCATCTAGAGTCATTTTAGTATCCGCCTCCTCTGTCACTTCCTGAATGAATTTTTCCCTTTATTTTTTTCTGATTTTCCTTACAAAGCACTCTTTTGTCAACTGAAATCTGCTTATCCTTTTCAGAGAAAATGGTTTCCACTTTTGCAAGCTTTTTTTGCTTAATTTTATCACTAACTATTTTCTTATTCACCTTACCTAAAAAAGAGTTTATGGTCTTTTCCTCTGATGACTTCGAATTGGTAAGTACTGTTTCATTTGCTACTATGAAATCTGGTATATCAGCAGATTTTTTAGGAAAAAAATTCTTTTGTGAATGCCTAGAATCTTCCTCCAACTTTGCAACTCTAGCCTTAAGCTCAGCATTCTCAGCATCACGCTTAATATTTTTAACATCACGTCTAGTATTCTCGATAGCAGTATCTATTCTAGCCTTTTCTAATTCCTCAATTTTATTCCTGAGCTCAGCCCTTAGCTTTGTAATCTCATCCTTGACCTCATCATACTTAGCCTTAAATTCAGCATTCTCAGCCATAAGTCTAGCATTTTCTTGCTTAAGTAAGTCAATCTCAAATATCATTTTTGAAAATAATTTTATATACTGTATATTTACATTCAAAATAAAATTCACATGATTTCACTTTGTGAACTTAGTTCACAAAGTTTTTATCTTGGCAAAAGAATAATTTATTTATAAGAAAAAAAAGGATTTACATCGATTTGAAATTTGCGGTAGATAGGATATGCAAAAAAAAATATAGCCAGGAATCCCTATTCTAAGGCTATAAATAAATTATCTATATTGATTTACATTTTAGTAAAGTACACGCACTAGAGCTAATATATGCTCTGACCCTAAAATGTCTGTCTTGATAAATACATCATATAAAGCACTTGGCCTATACTTTGAAGGAGCTAAATTCAGATAATAGAGGAATTTCATGAGTACGTTATTCTTCTAAGCTTTTATCTCTTTATGCCTCTAGTATAATTTTAATAGTCAGCATAAGGTGAAGTTATGCCAATTAGCTTTGAGTAAAATCTGCAATAGGCTTATTTTTTCGTTAACCACTGCTAGTAAACTTCTTTCTGATACAATATCCTAAATACAATAGGAAATGAAAGAAAGATATCATCTTAATATTGGTGATTCATGTAAAAGTGTGATTAAAAGCCTTTCTTCTTTCCAATGCATATACCTTCTGAGTAGTAATTTACAATATACTGGCCTATTAATAGCTATCATGCGATTAGTTTTGAAATTATAGATTTTTTTGCGAGTTTTACCCTTAGGCTCACATTCTGTCAGTTAATCTAATATATTCATAGCATTAATATGAAAAGATAATTTATCTCATTATAATACCGATTAATTTAAATATATATTTTATTATAAAATTAAAAGTGAAAGAGAGTTTTATATCCTAAAATACTTCTATGACTCGCTTTACTTGCGTACATATCAAGGAGGATAATACTATTTGTAAAAATAAGTGCTGTGATCCTACAGGGTATTATAGGCACTGGAAATTGTATGAAAAAAACATAGAAAAAAAACTCTGCCTTATTAGTGATTGTCGTAAATATACTGTTTCTACTATAGGATGTTGTTCTAAATATTCGGCTAGATTTTATTTATTAAATTATCAGATGAAGTAGAAGTACAAAGCTGAGATTCTTCAATCCATAAAGATCTCTGAATTACCAGATGAGGTCCTTCAACCCAGAATTCCTGAAGTTCCAATTTCTGAGTCAGATGATAGTAATGCTTCAATCTAGGTCAAAATACTAGGTGATAGGGTTGTAATTAAAGGCTTAGCTCCAAAGTCATCCAGAATCTATGAAGCTCCAGTTTTTGAGTCAGATAATAAGGACGATGGGGATCTTGACTTCTTTGAGGATTAGTAGTTAGCTTGAAAATTGAAGCATTAGGAATCCCTTTTAAATTATTTGCTGAAAAGTAAGCAAAAAATATTATTTGTCAATTATTATATAAAATTTTGGTAGAAGCCTACATCTCAAAGTATATGACTGTGTATCCTGACTGGAGCAAGAATTTTTTTAATGATACCTACCTGAATAAGTGTAGTCTTTTTCGTAATCTTATATAAAAAATTGGAAGAAGACTATACTTTTCTAGATATATATTCGAGCATGGCATTAACATATATCAAATAAATTCTGAATATCTTCTGAAATTTACGTATTATCAACTTTGCTAGAACTAGAAAGATTACCTAATAATAATTCATCAGGTGAGATCTTACTATATCTATATCAAATATCTTTACCATTTTTCCAATAAATTTCTTCTCCTGTTTGGTATAAAGGAAACTTGAGGCATCCTTGCTATTAAATAAACCAACTAAATGATAATACCTTTGACTTTTATCAATAGCCTTAAATTTCAATCCATGAGTAGCGTAAAGGAATGCATTTAATAAACTAAGTTTCGCTCAGATTATTTTTAATCCCATTTTTTTAATACTGCATGATGCATCTATATTATCAAATATTTGAGCCATTTTAGGCACTAAACCCTAGAGATATGATGTTGATTTAGGAGAACTCATGTGCATTTTGATTTCATCAGCTTTATATTGTACTTTATTATCGATATCTCTAGCTAGTATGCAAATTCTTAATAATTCTAGGCAAATTCGATGCCTCTCAGCCTAGGTTGCAGTTGTGAGCTTATCTTTTCTGTAATCTTTATGGGATATAGCTTTAATAGCTATTTTATTGTTAGTACCAGTATCTTGTAATTGCTTATAAGCCTTAAACCATTTCATGTGATTGTAATTCCCATACTTAGAGATGAAATTCTCAGTTAATGATTCAAATGAAATTTCATAACATTCCACAATATGATGTCAGTCTAGTAATTGCATGTTTTCTAAAGTTTTTCTTAGCTTATTCTCTAGAAATTCGGTAGTCTCATGATCGACAATCATAGCATTAAATATATTTGATATTTCCTCTGCTTTAATGATAGAGGAATTTGCCTTTATGGTTTGAGATAATGATATAACGTTTTCTTCAAACTTAGGAATGGATTCTATAATAGAAATTATCATGCCTGCCTCCCTAAGAAAATTGACTATTCTCTAACCAAATAAGTGTCAAAAACAGAATCTTTCTAATATATTGGTTACTCACAATCGAACAGTTGATATGTTTATATTCTGAATAATAGAATCTATATCTGAAAATATTCCTCTATTCTGAAGTTTATGGAGTAGATATTCATGTTTAGCACTTAACATCCATTGAAATAACCTTTTTTTAAAATGAAAACGTTAGATGATCTTTGTTCGATATGAGATACATAATCCTTAATGTATCGCATGCGAAATAACATCTGGTTAGTTCCAGTATTAGTTTTTATATAGCTATTGAAGAGACAGAATACTTGTTCAAACTTAGAGTTAGTGCAAGATACTCCTATTTTTAAAGTGCTAGTATAGGCAACTAGATCTATATCCCTCTATGATTCTTTTACGTTATTGAAATCATGGGCCTTTTCTATTAGATCAGATTTACCGTGATATTCCTTGATCTGTAATTCTGAAAAATCAATCTTAAGAGTACAAACAATTCCTTGCACATCTTTTCTGAGATGGCAGATAAGTGAAGTACTTTTCTGATTCTCAAAAGATAGTAAAGTCATTTGCTTGGCTCAATCCCAAAGTTCAGCTAATAATGTTTCTTTACTAGAGACTAGGCGAAATGTCTTACCTTTTTGAGATTAATAGGTATTATGAATAATGGAGAAAGGTATATCTTTATGAAGGGTCTTAATCCATTCTATGTTAAGATCAGTAAGGACATTATCCATGACGATAATTCATCTAGTCTCTTAGATTAATTTATATAATTTCTCTATTGATTGTCTTACCAACGACTTTGTATCTGAGCAATTATAGACACTATCTCATTAAGCCATAAGTTATATTGTATTAGAGGACATTACATTTTTTTCCCACATTTACATTTGTTAGTAATGCTATGTAAACTCTCTATCTGACATATTACCCTTTTATGATCAAAAAGATTTATATTTCCATTAATATTGCAATATGATTTAAGATTGAGCGTAGACAGCACTAGTAAATTTACGTCATCAGAAATAATTAAATTTTCAAGAATATATATTTTTTCCGTTTCCCAAGGTGATCTCACATAAATATCGCATTTACTATGTAAATATAATAGTCTTACATATCTCTCTTCATATATCTCTATCGCTGTAAAGAGGTCATTATACTTGGTTCAGAATAGGAATTTTATGAAGGCTTTAGGGAAATTGGGGTTTTTATCTTATGAGATTGTTGCAGGGAATTTTTATTTTCTCACTGAATTTTTTTTGCAATAGATGGGTTACATTCAAATACTTCACCAGATTCATCCCTACCTTGCCAGAAGCATTTTACGATGAATTTACCATTACTAGCATATATACGGCCAAACCAATGCTGATCCTTATCATGTATATGTTTGCAGAGTAAATACCCTAGTAGAGCTTTTCAGTTAAAATATACGAAATTTTTTGAGTCCTTTTCTTTAATAGTCTAATCTCTAAGATAGTTAAAATACTTTTGTAAACTAGATTTGCAAATTTCTGTAATATATCCTGACCTACGGATATTCTTAGCAGATTATTATTTTTTCTATACTAAGCATTTGAGGTTTTACTTCAAACCCTAAGCTAGTAGGTGATTGAACTCTAGCATAATCAAGTTCATTTCAGCCATTATTTAGTGAAAACTGAAGAATACACTTTATATAACCTTTTTTTACTAAACTAATTAGGCGAAGGTTAAAATTCTGATCAGGTAATTTCTGATCAATAAACTTGCCAAATTTTTTACCAGTTAAGGTATAAACTAATTCAATGAGTGCTTTGAGTTCAAAATGGTCAATAAGGAGAACTGATGCATACAAAATATAGTAACTACACTTACTAGGGTCTAAGGATATAGCAATTACTAATCACTTGAAAATATCTTTCCAAT